AAAAATAATTTGCAAACACCCCGTACAACAAATAATGAATAACTAAATATTCTCAAGAAGTACATCCCATCTACTACCTCTGGTTAAAATTTTAAGTATCTGATAGATATAGTACCTGAGATGGACGACTTTAAGAAAATGTCTACCGGCGACTAAAAATGTAGAAAAAAATTGAATAACGCCAAATCCGCTATAACTAGAATAGGCAAATGGGGTATCGTTGTTTACAGAATTTCATGCTGAATCTAAAATTAAAAAAAAATATGGGGTATTCCCTTTAAAATAACGAAGTTAGTGGTGACTTCCGGTATAACCGGAAGTTGCACAGAGTTCATTTTATTTTAATTCAAAAGAGCATATTCGATTATGTATACTCAGAAAATGGCGAAAATACAAATTAATTTATTCTCCATAAAGTTGTAATGCCCGCCTTACTATGGAGAAAAATTAGGGAAGCAAATACAAAATAAGGAAAAACTCTGCATAAAAAACGTATATGATTTTAAAGAGATATAAAGGTGTGTACATTACTCTCTTCTCCAATTCTACATAATTATCAATTTATAAATAAAATTCCTTTACTTTTGGTTATGCTTTATTTATTTAATCTTTCAAATATATCAATTTGCTTAATTAGTTCAATAATTTCTCTTTCAAATAAACTTTTCTTCTACTTTCAAAATTTTTTTCGACCTTTGATATTTCTAATCCCACTGACTATCTTTTAACCAACAACCTAAAAATACCCTTATAACAACAACCGTTTTTCAAATGAATCACCCTATATTTTTAAGCTATTCTATTGATTAAAAGTTACTTTTTAATTGGGTCTTTTAACTGTTAAACGCAAAAATCAGCACCTAAGCAGGTCTATAACTCAAATTTTTATTTATGGCTTTCTTTTATGCCCCATCAAATATTCATAAATCACACTGTAAAAGCAGGTACTTTTGGGAATAGCATATCATTATCCAAACGTCCCTTCTAGCATTTTTAAAATGTTCTTAAGATATGCCTGTTCTTCGCATCAAAACCATTCATCAACGATCAGAGGATTTACTTAAATTGATTATTCGAAAGTGCAAGATACCACACACATACACCACAACTGTATAATTAAATTTTAACAAAACACTAGGTCAACAAGAATAATGCCTTGTGAATTGTGTGTGAGAAGTAGCACCGTCAGCTTTATATTACAAGATTTCTGCATCAACTTCCTTTCAGCGAGGAGTTTGTAATAGTTATAAAGACGGTTCTATAAAAAACATTCCTAGGTCAATCACCCATTATTTTAGCGAAAGTTTTTTGGTTTCAGATATTTATTAACAGTATGGTGTACATTTTTAACCACCGGACGTCCTCAGCGAAAGCAGAGAAAGTTTGATGATTCGTGGCTTAAAGTGTTTGGTAGGGGGATGATCAGGAAAAGCATGTTGAACAAAATTATTAATATGATTCTTAATATAATTTAATAAAAGCAGGTATAAGACCCATAAAACATTTCATTTGCTTCGAAAAATTAAGGTACCTATGTATAAAAAGAGTGTTCTTCCTATAAAACATATCCCATATCCACATTACAATTTTTTATATTTTATACTGGGTGATCTTCTCATAAGACACTCTTGTGTTATTATACCAATTTCATAATTTTTATATACAGGATGATTAAAAAACCCTCAAACATTTAAACAAGTTGCTTCAGGTCACAAAGACAGGGCTAGACTGAAGACACACGTTTTGTTTGCTTATTATTTAATATAGTCTTCACTACATTCTTCTTACAGAATGTTTTAAACAAGATTACTACTTTACATTATTCATAAACACTTTTTTTTTTAATCAACACATTTACAGTTTAGTTTTATTCAATCCCATATCCCACCTTTCGTGAGGGGAGGGTGTTGAAATACATTTAAAAATATTGACTTTCGAAGAATAATAATTACTTTAACCGTCCCTGAATCTTGTACACCCGCTACCGGTAAAATAGTTTTCTAACAGATAAATATAAATGACGTGCGTCAGGTACTCGTCATTGGTTAAAGTGTATTACGTCTGTTTCTTTTCACCACTGTTTCATCAACAGTCGAAGGCACAACATGTGTATCTTGTTTTAAAAAGGACGCTGTGCCCGCCATTATGTTAAAAAAGAAATAAATTATGTAACACGGCTTAGGATTATAAATTTTCGAGAAAATCTGACGTTTATAATTTAAAAGTGTATATATAGTTGTTTTAAATGTTTAAGTGACACATTAAACTATTCTTTTCATCACCAGGACCGTCATTGATCACAAGTATACAAACATTTTTACTTTCCTATCTGTATACAGATAAAAAAGAGTTTTCGACGGTTTTTTACGTTTTGGGGTCCCCTGAATCCGTTTTGACTATTTTCGAGATGATGTCTCTGTGTTTGTGTGTGACAATAATATTATCTATAATTTTTGTTCTATACAAAATTTTCCTAAAATGGTCCGTATTCGAAAAATTTGACAAAATTTAAAAAAATTAATTTTTTATAGAAATAATTTAAATAAAAGTTGTTTATAATATAATTTTCTATAATTTTTATTCCATATACAATTTCTCTAAAATGGACCGTATTCAACAAATTTGAGAAAATGTGTAAATTTCGAATTTTGAAGAAAACTCTTAAACAGATAAAGGAAAACACATTAAATTTTAAACTTCAGTTTTATTTCGACCTGAGGTGAAACGGTTAGATTTTGAACAATGTCTGAACATCTTACTTTATGGGAGGCCGTTTTTATATTTTATGGAATATATCTGTTATATACGTTTGGAAAAGAAAATTCTTTAATTTAAAGTTAGTTATAATATTATTATCTATAATTTTTGTTCTATACAAAATTTTCCTGAAATGGTCCGTATTCGAGAAATGTGACAAAATGTTCACAATTCTGATTTTTAAGGAAAATTGTTAAACTAAAAGTTGTTTGCTATATCGATCTCTTTTTTTTGTTTTAACGTTTTTTTTTTTTAATGGACCGTAATGGAAAAATTGGAGGAAAAGCGCTAAATTAAAATTTTTCAGTATTTTCGGTTTCAATGAATATCTATAGAAAATTGTTTTGAGTTAGATGTATGTGGAAAATGTATATATTTAGTTTATCCTCTAAACATTTATAGAGGTGCTACAATAGGTTGTACAAAATAACCGAAAAAAGCATATAATAACTAGAGAGGAAAGTCATGTGTTAGACACATCAGATTTTTATTATAAAAGTCCACTGCATTTGATGAGTCAGATTGGCCCCCATTTATCTGTGGTGTGAAACACTGGTTGAGTCTGCACATCGGTGTGACCGCTACAAATATTTTAACCCCCAAATTTATTTTTTTTAGAATCAATAGGCTTTATCTTTGTATAGAGCTTGATTTTTATTATAAATTTCACGTTGATATCGCTTTTCGTTTTCGATTTATAATTTTTTTTTAATTTCAACACCCCTTTAGTCCCCATTTTTAATTAGATTTTTTTAAAATGGAAGGGCTTCTTCCCCTTATAGAGCTTGATTTCTTCTGAAAAATTCAAATTGATATCGTTTTTATGCAGTTTTAATGCACATACGCGATCTGTCAACGTCACCTGTAACCTTAACAGTTTCGTCAGCCGTCACAATATTGCCATCCCTCCATTGCACCTAAAAAATCATTACCACCAGGCCTTCACCCTGGTAGTCCTCACAGTTGGTGTTGACATGTGGGGTTGATTAGGTCTCAAAAAGGTTTTCTTGAGGAAAAACTTTCATTGTACCATCATCTGTTAACAACATTGTAACAGTTGAAGGGACTATTGAAATGACAGATCGCGCATGCTTGTTAATTGCTTCAAAACTATTTGCTGTGAACCCATCTGTACTTTTTTTGTTATTAAAATAATAATTTTGGTTTTTATCTTTGCTGTATCTTATGTATATCGGTGAAATTTATTATTTATTATGCCAATGTAAGTAACAAAACAATATTATTTATAAGATATTTTATTCTTTGGAAAATTATGGAAATAGAACTCAAAATGTGCTATATTATCAAGTGCTGACATTTTTATTAATATACATTGTATATACATTACATAAAAAACTTTTATTCCTTAATTTAGAAATAGTACCTCATTTGTATAATAAATAAATAAATTAATAAATATAACTAATTAATGAAACAAAATAAACTAATAAAACTAATAAATTAATTAAAATAAATTAATAACAGATAAAACTAAATAAAATAATAAATATAACTAATGTAAAACAAAATAAATTAATAAAACTAATAAATTAATTAAAATAAAATAAATAAATACATCCAAATTATTTCAATAAATTAAAAATATTGATGATAGTAAAATATAAAACAACTGCAAAAATAAAACAAAAACGTAAAAAAATAGCTAAAAACATAAACGATTAGATAAAGAAAAAACATCACTTCGTAACGTGTATCATATTTAATATTTTTTCTATTCTTGACCAAAATTTGATTAAAATTGTATTTTGGTTAAACATTATTGACATTTAGGCAACCAATATAATTTTCTTGTATTGTTAGTTGTATATACATAATAAAGTCACGATTAGAACATATTCATAATTATTTATTTTCAACGACTTGCAGTGTGTTTAGGTTGTTATTTTGTCGTGTATATATTGTATTTTAATTATTTTGTGCTCATTTGAACTAAAAAATAAGGCCCAAAACAACATTATTACCAGGTTGTAAGTTTAACCAACTATTTTTGTAACTCAATCTCTTATTTAATACATACTTTCTACATTAATGTATATTATTGATTTTAAAATAAAAAAAGGTTTATTTTCATTTGTTCTCTTTTCGTAACTGATGACGTAATGAATTTTTTGAAACGAGTTTAAAATGTTCAACATTATGCAACTGGTTGCATAAAGTAGATTATTTAAAAAAAAAATTAGAAAAAATATTTTCTGCTTTAAATATTAGTAAAATCGAGTAATGTTACAATTTTCATTAATAAAACTAAACTTTTCTTAAATATACGTTCTTATAATCCTTCTAGATGCATTACCAGCAGTATCGTATAACCTATGATGACTATAACCCTCTTCATCATCATATGAAGTAGAATGCGTGTGACTTTCACTGTATTTGGGCTGTTTGACAATTTCAAACGTAGTTTGCTCTTTGCCACTGCTTACCAATTTCTTCAGACCTAAAATAGCTGTTAATAGCAAAGCCATTTTGCCCATAATGATGGCTATACCCGACATTACTGCTATGCCTTTGTAGGCGATTGCTAGGAAGGTACCTTTAATGGCTAGCGCCCAGTAAAGAGCAGCATTGCCGCCTCCTCCTCCCCCTTGGCCTTTTCTCTTTCGTCCCTCCTCTACTAACTCTGGAACTTTGATTTCTAGCTGGTGGGTTTTCATGAATCTAAAATTATAAAAAATGATTATATCAGTAACATAATATAAAAATTACATAATGTTAGTTATCTGAATTTTTTAAAATATTAAGGCCCAGTACTTTCTGAGTTAGTTAAGCTTTAATGTTTAGATAACTATTCTAGAGAAAGGTTAACTAGAACTTGCTATCTAAGAAATATCTTGCACGGGGACTTTTATTTCGAATTATCTCTTAGATAACTATCCGAAGAATGTATTAGTAGACATTATTTAAGTTAAACGTGCCACTAAAATTAAATTAAAGTGAGAAATACCGCGATATGTCCATAAAAGAAAGAGAATCTAGAATGTGTTTTGTGTCACGTTAATTCACAAAATTATACTCTATATTTTGTTGTACGTCAAAGTTAAATCATTTACTTAGTTTCTTATGTATATAAAATTAATTTTATTCTATTTCTGTTTGTGTTTAATTTTTGTTTTTGAGTTATTTAGATTCCATATTGGATATTGACTTCTTATTACTGTATAACTGTTAGTTTTTTATTATTTCACCCAGTTTTTTTTATAATATGTGTCAAACGCCGAAAGATAATAAAAAAAGGTCCATCCAACGAACAACAAACAAATAGTAATTTTTACTTAATTTGAAGTGTAAAATGATACCTTATAGTTTGAGAGCGAAGTCTCGTATATACCCCCATCCCCCCTGTGGGAATTTGTAAGCCACATATTTTTTAGTTGGTATTGCTATGTAGTTTAAGATTTTAGTTGTTTGCTTCATGCCACTTACAGCAGATTCCGGAAAAACATGGAAAACCGCGGAAAACTGAAAAAAGTACTTATATTTTTATTAACCTTTTCCAGATAATTTACTTTTATTTCAAGTGAACCGTAATCATGTGTGATGAATAGCCTTTAAGTTTAAAGTGGCGACATGGAGCATTAACAACATCACAGGAGAAGAGATGCATAATTCATTTTAAAGAAAACAAATCAGACAATATTCTTCGATCATTTTCCGCTCATTCATCTATTTCCGAGTGATAGCTGCATTTTTGTCACACGAATCGAGAATTGATTTCTTCGAATAAAAAGTACGAGTTTTCTACCAAATAGCGGGGTTGTCCATTATCCATGCTGCAGAAGCAAAATCAAATGACAGATTTTTATTTCATAGCTCGTGAAGTGCACTATCATAATAACTGTCCTAAGGAATACACAAGACTTCCGGATAGGCGACTCCATGACGCTCCAGAAAACGAGTTACTTGCGCAGCAAAAGGTACATAGAGAAGCATTTGAACATTTAAAGAAATATGTTCAGCAAAGCATCATTGTTATTGGTAATGTTGAAAGCATGACAATGATGCGTGAGAGGTATTTGTTGTTCATGTCAGAACATTTACCAGAATTTTATAATGAAAACTATTAACCTGGCAAATTAAAACAAAAACTAATAATGCATTTTGGTAACCGTATATCATTCTGGCAGCCAAACTACAGAAGTGAACTTGTTTACTGGTCATGGATAAAACCAGGAGAAGCCATAGAAACTGCATTTGAAGCTGCGTCATCAGAGATACGAAGAATAGAAGAAGCTGCAATGATTCTGAGACGAAATATCCAGCAGGCATATGAAAATTGACCAAAAATGCCTTGGCCTCCTTTAGCCGAATTTCTGGCATCAGAAGAAACGAAGGCTCCTAATTTACTGTGTGATTTTTAACAGGCGGAAAACCATTGCACGCCGCGAGTGACAAAGTTGAGCGCACAGTGAATTCATTTGGACAGGATTTATGTTATAGTACTACTCATGATAAACAGGAAATGGTAAAGCATTTGAGTTTAGGAATGACTATAAGACACCTTACAGGAAGTGCAGAACTGATAACTTTGATAAACAGATATGGTCATTGTGTTTCCTACTTACACTTACCTGAGTTAGAGACTGCTATGTGCAATAAAATCAAGGACAATGATGAATTTTTTCCTTCAAATATAACTACAACAGGTATCATTGTATCGCACTTGTGTTGGGATAACTTCGACTTAAATAAAGAAACTCCATCGGGTATTAGGACAACTCATTCAAAATGGCATGATGATTCAAGAAAGAAGTACTAATGTTCAAATACTGAGTAGTAGTAGCAGTGATGTACCCAAAACGAAACAACGTACTATCAAATTTGTGGAGAGAGATCTTCAACCTTGTTTTATTCAAAAGCACCCTGACCCTGATATCGACGTAACAATAACAACTTGTGTAAACAAAGCTTTTATCAATGATGCTACACAATCTGATTTCTTCTGGTTATTGTGCAGAGCAAGATTCAACAAAATATGCCACATACCTGGATGGTCAGGATGTGTTTCAGAAACATCAAATATTAAAGGTGAACAGAGACCTTCAACTGTAGGCTACATGACACCAATTACTTCGCCAATTACAGAATATTACACTATTTAAGAAATTCTGACACAGTCGCAAAAAGCTACAGAGAAAACTGGGCAGGTTAATACATTTGTTACACTAGATTTGGCGGCTGCCTTCAAAGCTTATGCTGTACAATGACATACCAAGAAATTTCCAGACGTAATCATTAACGTTGGCGCTTTTCATAGCACCTGCTCTTATTTTGAATGCTTAGGTAAATTGATGAGTGATTCTGGCTTTAAAAATATTTTACTTGAATCAGGAATATGTGCAAGTGGTTCGATTGCATAAGTAATGTCGGGAAAACATCAAAACGGAGCTATGAGAGTCCATAAAACTATGATGGAAGCACTACAGAGATTACTTATTGAGATGTACATGACAATGAATCCTAAAAAATATCCTGAAGCTAAAGGTATAAAAGGAATTGAAAACTTGGCAGAAAACTCGAAACATTCTAATTTGACATCTGACATAAATAACAACATCTTGTCAAACATTTTACAAACACTACCAGACTTTCTTATTCGAAGTTAGGGATGAGAAGTTAGGTAAAACAGCACAGTTGGGTAAGTTATATGGACAAAGTGTTACTGATTCTGAGGTTTCAGCAAGCGACTTAAGAAAACAACTTTGGCTTACACTTGGTATGTTTGGAAGATATAATTCCCCTTTTCTTTGCATTTGACCATCACAATTATGCCAGGTACCTTGTAGTCTCTACGTTTACTCTTTTGAATCTGCAAAAAAACACCCTGGAGCTGAAGCTTACTTCGCAACAATGATTTTAGTGTCTGTAGATCACTAGTTCCCGGTTCTAGAAATTCTGTTGACATCACAATAGAACAGACAATCAATCGATATACCAAATGCACTGGCGGTATAGTAGGTTTTAGCAGAAATTTCTGGGCATATGCACGATAGTGTGTTACAAGACATGAACGTGCTAAATACGTAGAGTTGACATTTGAAAAAACAGGCATGTTACACACATCAGATTTCTCCCACCATGATATGCAAACAAGAGAAATGAAACGAAGTGAGCAAAGTGTTTTAAAGGTAATTCAAGCTTTTGAGCAATATATCAATCCATTTGAAGTTAGCGACAAGGATGGTCTGTTCTGTTTATCATCTGGAAGGCCTGTAAATTTACTTAATGACAGTCTGGGGAATGTTGCCTATAGTACTTTCGTACAAGATAGGTTTATTCATAAAAATACAAAATTTCATGAACCACTGAAGAGACAAAAGCTTCAAACTTTTAATAGTATTCAAGAGAAGATAGTTGTTACATCTCCGCAAAACAGATTAGTTGAGATAAGAGCAGAAATATTTTTGGTCGCGCTTTGCTCCTGTCCCAGGTATGGTAAATGAACCTCCTAAGGTTGAGGCAAGTATTTATATGATTGATGGCATGGCTTACTTTCAGGCTATCAGTAACATTCCAGAAACCTTTGGTAAGCTCGCCGAGATAATACTCGCTCTCTAAAATGCATAGGATAGATTTCATGACAGATACTCAGATGTATCTATTAAAAACATTGTAAGACTAAGAAGAGGTTGTGGAGATACATTCTCAATAAAAGGACCAAAAACCAAGATTCCCCGCGATTGGAAGAAATTCCTGTACAAGAAGAGCTATGTTCTTCACAAGAGGAAGGGGATACTAAAATTATTTTGCATTACTTCCATGCTTCAATCTTGTCAAGATAAATTGTGAAATCATCTTCATGATTATAAGGATTATTTTTCTCTGAAAAACTCCTATTGTGTGACTCTTGAGATAACAAACCTTTCTTTTTTGTTCTACAGTAGAAGGTAAGTCTACCCCTCTGATTAAAATTTCATAGGTTAACTCATGAGTTTTTAAATGTTTGGAAATCATTTTAATAAAGAGAATATCAGTCAGAAAAAAATGTAAAAAGCAATAAATTTAACTCAATGAAGGCACAAATGTTATCACTAACAAAACAATAGCACATTAAATCGCAAAGTTCTACCAATATGTATTTGGGAAAATTTTTACCAAAACATATATCCTCCTAGAACAACGTTGACTCTTACCTTTCAAGATGTCACCCACCCCTTTCTGGATGCTCCTTTCTGTACAAATGAAATTTATAAAGTCATTAATAATTGTAAAATTAATAAGTCACCTGGATGTGATGGAATAACTTATGAGTTTTTTTAAAATCTTCCAAATAATTGGATTATTTATTTAATATCGTTATTTAATTCAATATTTGAAACTGCAGTTATTCCGAAATCTTGGTCTAACATTTTATTAGCTATGCTACATAAGGGGGGAGCGACAGATAATCCTGAAAACTATAGAGGATTAGCTCTGGTCAACTGTTGTGCTAAAATATTCACTTCCATTATTCTCAACAGACTGTCACAGTGGACCGATGAATGTAATATCCTTCCAGAATGTCAAGCTGGCTTTCGTTTAGGGCGAGGTTGTCAAGATAATGTCTTCATCTTAAGCAGTGTTATTAATTTACATATAAGGCATAAAAAGAGAAAATTGTTTGCAATTTTTGTTGATTTTAAAAGAGCTTTCGACTCAGTTGATCATGTGGATTTGTGGAGCAAATTATTTCATGTAGGAGTGTCATCAAAAATTCTCCGTGTAATAAAAATGCTTTATTCGCACGCTACGGTACAAATAAAGGGATCTGATGGGCTATCCAAATCGTTTGAAGTGACAACGGGCATCCTACAGGGGGAACCTCTAAGTCCCTTATTATTTGCACTGTTTATAGCTGACTTTAATACCTTTTTTTATGAGAACGGTGCTCAAGGTATAAATATTGATGACAAAAATGATGTTTTGTCGCTAATATATGCTGACGACCTTGTCATTTTAGCACACTCTGATTTTGATGTTGTTAAAAAGTTAAAAATTTTAGAAAAATATACTGTTGCTAATAAATTAAATGTTAATTTACAGAAAACAAAAATAATGCAATTTTCTAAGGGAGGTTTCAGGACGCCTAACTTTAATTTTTACTTTAACAACCAACTTATTTCTATAACTAATAAATATAGATATCTAGGAGTAGTATTTACTTCATCAGGTCTTTTTAATGAAATGGCTCATTTTACTGCCAACAAAGGTAAACAGGCTATAGGTTCTCTCCTTCCGATAATGTCGGAAGCTAAAATTAATACTTGGCATCCTAGAATCAAATTATTTGAGTCACTTGCCCTTAGTGTTATGTTTAATTGTATTTCTGTTTGGGGCCTAAGATACTTAGATGTATTGGAAAGAGTCCAGTTATATTTCCTTAAAAGAGTTCTTTTAGTTCCCATCACTACTCCTGATGCTATAATCCGTTTAGAGACTGGAAGAGTAAAGTTTGCATTTAATATTTTTAAAATGTCCCTTAATTGGATACAAAAAATAATGACAATGGATAATCATCGATATCCAAAGCTTTGTTTTAAACAACAATTGCGTTTGATCAACTCTACAGATATAAAGTATAACTGGATAGTACAGTTGAAAAAGTTCTTTGTTGATATTGATTGTGTTCATAAATGGAACAATTTAAACCATCCTTCTTTTAGTTCATATACTTAGAAAAGAATTGTTTTCCAAGTATTTTGCACATTTACATGATTCAGATGTTAGTATAGCGTCCCGCTATCCTTTTATGTATTTATATAATTATGTTCCTACATCTTGTGAACCAAGTACATACTTACTCTTTAAATTACCAATCCAGGTTACCCATACTCTTGCTCAATTGCGTATGTACAACCATTTTAGGATTAAATTTACATTAAATGGTATTAGTTATGTTATTGACCCCGAATTAGATTGTACTGTGTGTAATACACATGAAAAAGAAACAATTTTTCACATACTTTTTGATTGCCCTATTTACTCAACAATGAAGCAAAATATCGCTTGCCTTGAAAATGTAAACTCATTGCTGCATACTTTACAAAATATAACAATTTTTGAAGCTAGGAAAATTGCTGAATATATTTGGAATATATTAAAATTGCGCTCTTTTGTCCTGGAAGAATAATGTTGTTTTTATGTTTTAAGATCTAATTTTTTTATATCTGTACTTATTGCTGTAACTCAGGTTTAGAAGCAATAAATATTATTATTATTATTATTATTATTATTATCACTAACAAAACAATTTTTACTCGATAGGCACAAAAATCAACATTAGGTAAAAATCCATATACTATACACTTTTATTAGTGTATAATGAATATTTTGATATATATCACTAGCAAAATATGTATAAATAAACACTGGACCTAGTACAAAATGCAGATATTATATAAAACTTGACGATACGATATGTAGATTTATAGAAAAGGTTAAAATAAGAGGTAAGAAAGTATTAGTAAAAATACAAGACATACAGTTAGTTTAGTTAACCTCCGAGAAATACCTATGGGAATTAGAACGATAAGTTATAAGGATACTATTTCAAAGTTGAGAGCTATTTAACCTAGTTGAGGCGCCAGTTGAGACCACATTTGGAGTATATTCAAAATTGACTCATAACTAGACATTATTTTTTACAGCTTTTGTAAGCTTATCATGCTAATTTTCACACTTCAAAAAAAAAAACGTAAATTAATCACTTCTTGATATTGCAGTATGCAAATGTAATTTACATTCTACATTTTGCATTTGTGACAAATCCCACAAAGTTCCACCTGAAGAATGCGAATACTTATCAAAGAGGGCCTAAAAAATGGCTTAAAAAGCGTCGATGTGGAAACACTAAAAAACTTATACAGGAAGAAAAACGGCAACTTCAAAAAATATTACAAAACCTTAAGTCTCCAATGTATCCCGCCTAACTTCAAGCTATATCTGATAATGGCTCACCTTCTACTTTGGAGTCAACTAATTGTTCTGACAACAAAATTAAGTTTTAAAAGATAGTTCATAAACCTTCAACTTCAAAATGTGTTAAAAAAAAATCAGTAAATTCAAATTCAGCCTACATCATTTGTAAAAACATACGACAGACACGGCATATTGGATAGATTTGTAGCTGCACTTACATCTGCCGTTTTACGTGGTGTAGTAATTATAATCCAATTAAAATTATTAACAGAAGTAAAGTTAGAACATAAAGACAATAAAACCGTTTTACTCTGCGAGTGCAAGAACTTTTGGAAATAAAAACATGTGTTTTATATTTTGAAAGGCCCAAAGATCAAACCCTAGCCCAAGTAATAAAGGAAAATAAGTTTTATCGGCAAACAATAGTAGAATAACATATAGTTCTTGTGCAAGAGCCAGAATGTAACTACATTGGACATGTTTCACCGTCCTCTGGTACATCTCAAAGTATTACAGCAAGCATCGTACGATTGCTTGAAGATAATTCAATTGAGACTAAAGATCTAAAAGTGGTTGTGATGGAACCATGGTAAATAAAGAAATTAGAGACGGTGTATTAAAACTACTATAAGAACATTTTAAAAAACCTCTTCAGTTTGTTGTTTGGATGCTACATTCAAACAAGCTTCTCCATCACCATCTTTTTTACCATTTAGATGGACAAAACCTTTTGCTACGTGAATTTTCAGGTCCCATTGGCAAGCAATTGGAAACGTGTGATAATCTGCCATTGAAAACAATTTACCTGTAATACCCAAAGATATTGTGAAGGGCCTTAGCGCAGATCAGAAATCTCTTTTAAAAATATGTTAATATGTTTGGTGTGGAATGTGTGACATAAGTATTTAAAATCAAAATCCAAAAAAACTAGCACTCTCGAGGTGGGTTATCAGCCTAATATTGGTTATAATTTAATAAAATTTTCTGTACTATATTTTCAATAAATGTAAATTTGATTCTCTTTAAATGCGACGAAAGGCTCAGTAATTAAAAGCTGGATTCAATTTTATTTTATAGGAACTTTGTTATTTATCCAGGCACTTAATTAAAATAATGGTTCTGAAAAAAATTGCTTAAACAACAACAGCAACAAAACCAATAAAATGTAAAAATATACTCGTTTTTCGTCCAGAGACCCTTGAGGACCACGGTGTGAATAAGTTAATATAACAGTAGGTAAAGAGATATATAAAACAAAGGCTCCTTCAATCTTACATCTGATATCTAAGTAGGTTAAACTGACACTGAGAGACAATAATTAAGAAATTGGACTGACTATAAGTTATTTTATAACCAATAAAATATGGGTAATGGGTATATTAAGATAAACCTTTGTATTTTAACAAGTGTTCAGAAAGCATGCAATAATTATCACACTATATATTTATCGTCATGTATAGTCACGTATTAAATGAAAATCACAACTTTAGACACCCACCTATCAGTCGTAGTCTGTAACATCTCATCCAACTGGTCAGAATCCAACTTTTCTAACTTCGTCTCATTCAAACTCAACCCGAATTGCATACTCCTTCCTTGCCTCGTGTTAGCCACCAGACTAACACCACCAAATAAATTCAAATTCCTCATCCTGACAGCCCTGTCAGCCACTTTAATCGCCTGTATCTTAAAACACTTAAACATCTCATCTTTGGTCGAGCACTGATCCAAAAGTTTTTCGATCACTCGAAAATCACTAGCTTGAATTATCGAAAAAACCCCGATCACGAGTACGTAAACTTGAGGTTTTAGAATCATGGTGTGCGATGGGAACACTACTAACCAGACCACGCAGGAAAAATTCCATTTTATCTAGCTTGATTTCGTGAAGGTTTTAGAGCATCACATCAACCAATGCATTTATCGTTTTTATGTTTTGCTGATTAAAGAAAATATTTCACGCGATGCAGAAATCGATGCAAACCAGAGAGAGAAATTGAAAAATGATTATTTGGGTTATGTGTGGTTTATCTAGAGCGCGCTAATGATCGAATGGGTTTGAACAGAACGAAACATGCACGTGATGTTATGTATATCGATACTGCGATTGTGGCCGTGCATCTGGTGTAATAATTACTGGTGGATATCGGAATAAGTAATTATTATTAGCGAAGCGTGATTCCAACAAAGTAGTTGCCTACTAATGGTTAATTTTATTTAATTTTTTAGCAAATGACTAAATTGCTTAGTTAGAGGAGAACTTTAAAATATGCCGATACTCAGTGCCGTCGAGAGCCAGGGTGGACACCTGGAGCAAAAACACTAGCAAGGCAGATTTTTATAAAAATAGCGAGGCATTTTTATAAAAATCAAGTTCTTTCTGTATTATATTTCTAAAAAAAAGGGCATGCTTCGGGAATTCTGCCCTCCTGTACCCCTGGCCCCCGTGCCCCCCTGTACCCCTGGCCCCCGTGCCCCCCTGTATCCCTAACCCCCGTGCCCCCCTGTCCCTTTGGCCACCGTTTCACCCTGTCTCCCTTCTTTCTGGCCCCCTGCCTCCCTTTAAAAAATTAGTTACGTAAACCAATCTTAACTTGAGTTGCAGGGTTTTAGATTTAAATAATATTTAAATAATAAGCATAATCAAAAAGAATACATTTATTTAAAAAAAAAAACATACAAATCCAATATTTAAAAAATATATGAAGTAGCTGGGACTATCGGGCTAAGACTATCGCGCTGGGACTATCAAGCTGCAACACAATCGAAGATAGCATTGCACCCCAGACGTAATAAAGAATGTGATATCTAAAACAGAAAACACTCAGTACAGTATAAGTATAAAAATAAACGTCAAAAGTCCACAGCAAAAGCCATCAAGTTCTATGAAACCAAATTTCTCAGGAGAATAAAAATAATATATGGACTCTGATATTGCATTCTATGCCCGATCTTTTGTATGCGATTTAAAAGGAACCCTAAATGAATTCTCAATTTTTTATTTTATCACATCATACTATTGCTTAAACACTAAAAGATGGCACTGAGTACTCAAAATCACCTAAAAATGGAATTGATGGTTTTTCAGTGGCCCTTCAAATATATTAATCAGAAACAATGACTAATAAATAGAAAATAAAATCAGACTTTTGAATTTTTTTGATAAATGAAACCATTTTTATAATGAATGTCCTATGGTTGTTTCAATAGGATGGTTTAAATGCAACATGTGGCAGATATGTAATTCCGTGGAACACAGTTTATGAAACGCTGTGCGAGAATCCAAAACAGATATTGGCATTCATAAAGAAAGTTTTAAACTTAACAATACTTAGCATAATATTTGATGTCTAAATAATTTTGAAGTTGAAAGCAGTTCTTTTGCTGAATATTTTTTGTCCAGGCACAAAAGACGATTTAAAAACTAATTTGAAGGCAGTATGTCCGGTACGCTTCCAAGAACTGTTAGGAAATAATACAAAAATAATGGAAAACATGCTTACAAAGCTCAATAATAGTATAGAGAACATTCAGTAGTGCGACTCTCAAGCGGTATTTTTGATATGGGTAAATTTAAGGGAATATAAAACCGGTTTCTCCACTTTATCTGCAAGGCAAAAAATTTGAATTTTTGTCTTATTGTTCCCTCAAAATTTCTACTCCCTAAGATTCAAGAATTGGGATCTAAAATTAAGATCGCAGCGCCGTCTGTACTTAACATTTAAATTAATTGTTATGGCTTGTTATTGTTTACATTTTTGAGTTTGTAAACAAACAACCCATAAAAATTATTTAGTTTATATTGTGCTATTTTAAGGAAAACACGAGGGAAAACATATTGTTGTTGTTAATTTTTAGTGATTAGATACTTTTATTTCAATAGTTTTTAGGTTAAAGTAGAATATATATTTTTATTTGGTAAGTAACCCCCTATTAATTTTGTTTTTAAATTACATTCATTCATTTATGCTAATTTAAGATATATTTGTGTTATCTTTTAATAAAATATCAATATATTTATTTTATTTTTAGTGAGATGTCTGAAATAAGGCTGTTTAATAGAACTTATGAAGTATATTGATGCAGGTGAAAATTCCAGGACTGTTATTAAAGAAGTGCTATTTTAAATGCAGGCCACATAGTTTTTATGTGGAAAGAATGAATTTAGTGATAAACACGTTTTTGCACTTGTTCTCCAAACTAGTGCATTGAATTCAGGTCCCCATATTGTTGTAGGCCAGTGCAAAATGTTTAAAATTAGTGAATGGCAGTGTTTGTTTTAAGCTGGGAACAGTGGACAGTGCAAACATATTTCAAAAGTCTTAATAAAGTGTTCTAGGTGGATACTGTTTCAAATAATAAAAGAACTATCAAGCTAATTCGATCGAATACCTTTTGATTTTGTTCTACACCCACATGTATATTATTTATTTTACGCACTGATTAAAGAACGAAAAAGTAGGCCATTGAACGAATATATTTATCCATTCTATGAACACTGTACAGATATGAAATCCACCAATATTTGGTCACCAGGATACCATTATTTTTTTAAATTTTAAATGAGTAACAATTCTGTCAAACTAATTTGCAGCATAGTTTTTAGTTATTGAGATTAAATATAAAAATGATTATTGTGAAGAATCAATAAATAATGGCACTACACAAGATATTCTTTTATATTTTCAAATAAATCTAAAATCAGTTTATGATTATTACAAAAACGATGTGTCCTTGGTAGGGAAGCAGAATATTTATGGCTTCACTTTTATGTTTGCATAAACTATTTGATAATCAAATTATTATTTCAATGTTCCATAATTTTATTTAACAAGATGTTTTAAAACATATAGAATAATTATTCTTTTAAAATCATCTATTAACACAAGTAGGTACTATTTTGTTTGTTTGTTAGTTTTGATGTAAAATTTACTTAGTCATAATTTTAATTTGTAGTTTGTATTAGTTTTTAGTCTTAATAGTTTTATAATATATTATTTAATCCATGTTACTTATTATCTTAAAAAACAACTGTATGACACTTCGCAAGTGTTCTTATTCTTACCTTTTTAACACATTGATGTTTGTAATGTTTGGATATTGTGTGAATAATTATGATATTAATAACATAAGTAATTCATGTGATCTCTTCTTTAATACAATAAATGAAAATGTACAGCTTGAAATTTATGATTGATTTTGACTTGAGAGAATACTCTTTTTAATAATTATTTTTATTCTCAAGTTTACTAGTCATCGTGTACAGTTACATTTTCTAATGAGTGATTGTACATTGATAATGTATTTTTGTACATTTTTATATTATTCTGTAATGGAATAGTTCGACACATGCAAGGAAGACTATAGTAACTCATTATTTCCAGTTTTGAGAAAATCTAAGATAATATAGTATTCAAAGTATTTTATGGCCTAAAATGATTTACTATATTTGATGGTAGTATTTCTGGTTGCTTAACCTCTTCGTTTAGATATACGATACTTATTTAGATCAAAGCTTTTGACAAATATATGTGCTGGATAAAGGTAACTAAAAACTCTCAAAAATGAGTCTTCGTTGCATGGGTCGAGTTGATTCTGTTGGTAAAAAGGCTATTATTATAAGCAATAAATATAAAAATCAAATATTTTTTTTATTTTTTCTGTTAACAAAATATGCCAATGTTTACATAATAATAAACGTTCTTTATTGAGTTACAATACCCAATAGGCCATGTTCCGAAGTACTTCAGCTGATTTGACTGTATTTTCTAGTACAGTATGTTAAAGTTGTTAATACCAGTTAATGAACACAACTCTTTGTCAGATTTTAAAAGGTCTGAAATTGTTTTAATTTTTGGGGTATGCGCACTTGTACACTAATGGCAATCTACTTGAAAAAGAGTATTTGCAACCTCTGTCTTGTTTGGCATGAGTAGCTAGGTTATCTTGAAACAAATCACTCTCAACTATGACTTTGTTTAATCTCATTATCACATTTAACACTCATTGAACTTTTTTTAGTTTGGACACAAAATCTTTATTCTGTGGTTTGGATCTTCTTTTTGTTCTCTCAATATTTGATTTTGAAGTTTATTGAACAGAATCGTCAAACATTTACTTAAAAACTGGCAGGAAGACACAGCGATTTTTTTTTATATTTATTTTCACTTTGGATGAGGCATCTACAACACAAAAAAAAGTAAAATAAAAGCATTCAATCGAAAAATAAATCTATATTACCTCTAGGCAAATCATCTTCTTTAAAATGCTTCTCAATTTTTAATTTTTGTAACCATGCATTTCTTGCAGAATTTCCACTTTCAATTTATAAAAATTACCCTACATTTACCAACTTTAGGAAGCAAATGAAATGTAAAAGAAGGTCCATTTTTTTTAGGGTGCATCCAGGCACCCAACAAGTGTGTTTTTCACTGATATTGCACTTATAGTTCAAATAAAATAATATTTTAATATATATATGATATAAATTTAAAGCATTAGCTTATTATTAAATAAGATATTTCAAACAAAATACTTGTTAAATTTTAAAATATTGAAATGACCTGATAAACAATAAACAAAACTTGACAGAACACAGACGGTCAAGTGTCAAATGGCATAACTTTTAGTTCACAGTAGAGGGCGTATCGCTTATCTTCAGATCCCAATAGATATCTTTTATGATTTTTCACAAGGAAGAAGAAATTTGTCAGACGACACCATTTTGTTAAATCCAGGTTGGCCGTTTTAGATAATTTTTTATAAATCTGTACGAAATTTTTATTCAAAATTATAATACTACACTTAAAATTACAGTATCTTTGATCTCCCATCTGAAATTGAGGCTGCAAAAAAGTACAAGTTCAAAAGATGTGTGATAAAACATACTAGGTGATATATAATTTTGATTATTATTTATCAATAACGGCTGTGAAGCAGGCGTCCAATCTATGGAGATTACTATTAAAAAGAAAAATAACATTTGACAACTGTCTGGATACACCACTAGCAGAAGACTAAACAGAAAGCTACTGAACAAAACATATCTTCACAATAAAATTGATTCCAAGAAAATAACGACGCAAACAAT